GGGGGGAGGGGCAGGGCACGGGGCCGTGGCCCTTCCTCCCCCCCCTTCGGGGGCGGGGCAGCACCCACACCCACCTCGTGTGGGGGGCTGGGGTGAGAGGGGCAGTAGGGCTTACCCCCCCCGTCCCATCCTGGGGGTGGGGGAGGGGGTCCCCCCCAAAAAACTACCCACTCTGGTGGTGGGCGTGAGCAGAGAGGGCTGGGGGGGGTTGCCCCTGTCCCATGTCCACTCGGGGGTGGCACAACTTTCTGCCCCTAGCGCTGAGGTGCCGCATCTCCCGGCTTGGTCAGAAGTGGCATCGTGATGGTCTGCTGTCCCTGTTTTGAGGGCCGGGGCATCATCCACAGCAGTTCTCATGGGGAAGTGGGGAGCAGCATGTAGCGTCAGTGCTGGTGGTGGGGTCCTGTCCTGGAAAACGGGGCATTACCTTGCTCCTGCAACCCTGCTGCAAGTTGATTTTGCCAGGATCGAAAGCAGGCTGCGCCTCTCTCTTCCTAGCTGTATTTTTTTTCTGTTTGCGCACAATGTAATCTTGAAGCCTGAGTCTCTACAGGCCCATAAATTTACACGTGAAGCTCAGCTAAGCTCTGGTGGTTAATCCAGAAGTGACAGTGAATGGATCTAATTGTTGGTTTGGAAGCGGTTGGTGTTATCAAACGGAGAAACTGGAGGTGAGAGTTCAAGGCCTTCGTTGAGAAGTCGCAGGACATAGTCATTTGTGTCAACAAATAGGTTTAAATTTCATTTTATTGTAGGCGGCTGGGCAAAAATTGGATTCCTTGTATTTCCAAACAGAGCAAATTGAAATGTTTTGGTGGGGGGCATTTCGTTATAGGGTTCTTTTCAGCTATTGGTTTAAATCGGAGCTGCTCGACCCCTGACCTGAGAGCCGGATATGGCCTTTGGGGCTGCGTGATTCAGCATGCAGAGCTCTACATGGGTCTGGAAATTTGACATTGGGGTACTAGTGTCAATTAACCCTGTCACTGCTCCACTGCCACTGCTTCCATGCAGCTGGATCAGATCTGGGCCTTGCACAGTTGGATCAAGCCCATGGGTCAGATCCAGCCCACAAACTGAGGTGGTATCACTTATCTGGTCCTCAGAGCGAAAAGGTTGGGCACTGTTGAGTTTAAATCCTGATGATGGCTAATCAGACTTTTACCTAAAAAGAAGGTCAAGTACGATTTCCACTTTAAACTCCACTGTTGTTTTACATTTCACTTAGTGCTTCCTAACCTGATTTTAACTAAGAAATGTATGGGATTTTTCAGTCATTTCAGCTCTTATGAGAAACCTTTATAAATTGCAATTACCCTTCTCTGGAGTGGGGAGGTAATTGGGTGCAGTAGCAAAATTTAAGGCAAGGTTACAGCTATTTAGTGCATGAAGCTATAGAATAGAATGGATCTGTTGGAAAGAATTCTTACTCGAATACCATGGGAATGATGTCAAGAGGTTTTGCCCACCGAGGTCAGGGTTTAGGCAGACTCTCGCTACTTGCATTATCTCATGCAAGGTTCCTTTGTTTTGAGTAAAACACGGTTTGTCTTTTTGTTGGAATCTCAAGATTTGTAAGCCTAGGCAAAGGGCACCTTTTTTGGGAGACAGACAGAGGGGACCTTAGTCTTTCATGCTGAGTTGTAGCCCATGGAGGTAACAGGGCCAATGTGCAAAAGAACAAAATGAGCTACTGAGAGAACTTAAAGACGGCTCAGAAAAATGGTGAAAGAGAGAGCCCCTGGCTTAGACTTGAGGGATCAACAGATATATAAAGATGTTTTATGTTGGAGCTGGTAGCCTAAATCAATACTCTTAAAATCGTTTGACCCTTAATGAGTTGTTTTTTTTCAGTTAAGGAGCTGGATGAGAGCTTAGAAAATCATTGTTCAGTTCCTGGCTCTGCCATGGACTTCCTGTGTAATCTTCAGCAAGAAGCTTAGGCCAAGATTTTGAAAGGTGACCTGTGATTTTTCAAAAAGTGCTGAGCATGCACCCTTTGAAAATCAAACTACTGTAAGCTATATTAAATTGGATACTCAAAATCGCTATCAACTATCTGTGCCTTAATCTCTGGTGTTAGTCTTTATTGGTAAAATGGGGATAATACCTTTTCTGTTTCCTTTATTTGCTAGAATAT